TGGAGTATATCTGCAATCCCTACTCTTGGGAAGCTGAGACACGAGGATCACTGCAAGTATGAGGCGAGCCTGGGTCACATAATGAGTTCAAGGTCAGCCTGGAATACACAGTGAGACCCTGTCTTACAAAACAAAGTAAGTCCTTACTTTTTAGACATCAAGTAGTTTTTAGGAGACTTTCTATAAATTTAATTTTCCTTTGAATGGACTATAGTTCCCTGTTTCTTTGCATGGATTTAAATTTTTTATTTGAAACTGTACATTTGAAATCTAATAATGTGATAGCTTTGGAAATCATATACTGTCTGCTTCTCATGGTTTGCTGTCCTTTTGTTAGTGTTTATTATTATTTTTAGTTTCTGTGCTAAGGATTGGCCTGAAATATAAACTGAAGGTTACCTCTGAATTTGAGCTTTCCTCTAGGTGTGTTCTAATATTTTCCATATACACATTTTGAATGTTATTTTGAATGTCTTAATATTTAATGTTAGAGTCCCAAAAGGGGAAATAGAAGAAAAATAGAGGCGAACACAAAGGTGCACTATACGTCCTCCAGAAGCCTCTTTCACCAGAGGCAGGGAGAAGTGCTGTGTGAACAGTACCTCCTAATCTCACCCCTTCGCACTTCTGCTAGAAGAACCAGTCATCAGTTATTAGAGCATAGCTCTATTTGGGTTTTTGTTTTGTTTTGTTTTTTGTACTGGACATCAAACTTGGGATCTTGTGCTTGTGAGGCAGGCAGCAGAACCACTGAGCTAAATCCCTGGCCCAGATCTCTGATATTCGGAAGACAAGGTATTTTGTGATCATCTGGCTCCCACAAGCTAGATGCTCCAAAACACCTGCATAACTTCCTTCCCACAGCAGGACTTGGATGGAGGTGCTAAGTGCTGAAAGTGCTAAAGTGCTAAGTGCTAAAAGTAACTGAAACTGACTGCAATTTATATCTAAGCCATCCCCCAAAACTTGCAAGCTTTCAACAGACTCTCCAGTCGCCAAGTAGTTGCATTAAAGTAGATTCTGCTAATATAATTGTTGCCTAGGTAGAGAAAAAGATTTGTGATGATTCATACTCCATCTTCCCAGAATCCTCTTTTATAAAGGTCAACTAAATGTTAAAGAATCAAGCAGACTGCACAAAACAGAAGCTATATTGTACAGTAACAATACATGTATTATTTATAAGTTATAATTTAGGGAGGCTGTCCCCTTTCATGTATTCCATGTAAAACATCTGCCAAAGATGTCAAGATGTCATCTGCCAGTTAAATGTACTGTAGTCTCATCTGGTGCTAGGCCCCTGACTCAAATAAATATATGGACATCTGCTTTGTAGGAGAATCTGCAATTTTAATGGAAAATAATTAAAGGCAATGAAATGCCATCCTATGAAATTAATATCTTTTCTTAATTTAATATTCTATGTAATTTTCCATTAAGACCCAAAAAAGATCAACAGAACATGGTTTTACCTATATGGTAGCCTGGCCTTCTTCTCTTCTGACTGATTTTCTTAATGCTTTTGTCCTTATATAGACAATGAACTATGTTATAGCAACATGGCTTTAATTTAAAGTTTTAATAACTTAAAATTGTTACCTGCCAAAATATATACATAACCAGAAGACTAGGAATCGTCATAATTTGTCCATTTTAAGTGGGGCGTGATGACAGCATTGCCCCATTGTATTAGTATCTAAACCGTTCAGCTTACACTTATGAACCAGGAGGGCACAACACTACGGACATGGTTTACAGGCCTACAGAACCCACCATCACTGTTTACCATGAACCACTGGGGATGTAACCTACGGCTTTATGAATTTGAGGGAAGTACTCTAGCACTGAGCCAGCCACATCCTCAGGCCCCAACAAACTGGTTCTTGAACTGCGGTGACCTAGTTTTTCAATGAATGAGTCTTTACTTTTATTTAAACTCCTCAGTTCCCTCCTTATGGAACCCTACAAGACATATTATTATTGCCATAACCTTTCAAACTGTTAATAAAAAGAAATCATCAGTTAACTAGAAAAAAACTTATGTACATTTTACTGGTATTAAATATAACAAAAGTGTGCAGGTTTTGCACATTGTTCTGTGGCTGTCTATTGCTGAGGTTTGCAATGCATGTGTTACAAAACACTATTTGTACAAATCACCTATCTGATGGCCTGTCTATTGATGCTGACAAAGCCTTCCTTGTACATATGGCACTTTTCAAATAACAATGCAAATGATGTCTCTCTACCTAACCAGCTTATAAGTCCATTGTGAAAAGAAATCATGTTTAATTTTTATCTGTATTCTCAGCTATTAGTGTGATCCCAAGAGCAAAGTATACATTTAAATAAATGTTTATGAAATAGAATTAAATTTAAAAATAAACTTTCCCCACTAATTAGCACAAATAAGTATTATAATAGAGAATACATCTCGTAATCAAAGTATAAGTAATATTTTAAGCTTGTTTATATTTATTGTATGAACTTTAATATAAAAATATTGTTAAAAGATACTGAAGCAAAAATAAAATCAAGCTATCAGATTTTCAAAGCTGAGACACACACCTATATCTCTCAAAAGAAATAACATTATTCCTAAACATATATGCAGATTTTAAATGGTGAAATCAAGAGGATCAGTAATTCTCCACAATTATTTTCTCAAACTAAAAAGTGTGAAATTACCAAAAGATGGGCTGGGGATTTAGCTCAGTGGTGCCACCGCCTGCTTCACAAGTGCAAGATCCTGAGTTTGTTCCCTGGTACTAAAATAAATAAATAAACCAAAAGTAAAAAAAACTTGATCTATTCAAATTCAATTCTACTAGTGAAAATATCTCTTTTGATAAAATAAAAACAGATTCTACAATTCCTTTTGGGTTAAGACCCTTTAAATAGTAGTTTACCCATATCACTTGCAAAATAAATTTCCTAATTGTAAAGAAATAATCAGAAAATTCTGTTATTTGACTTGCTACTTTTCTCCCTGCTTCATAGAGCTGAGGGTCCTCCCCCCAGGAACTGAGAGACTGCACGTCAGTGAGTGTTACCCCACATGATGAACCTTCTTTACATTAGCAAAAACGCAGAAGGAACAACATGTGAACACAATTCTTTTCAAGATACAAATTCCTAAAAAATATTAAATTGTTCTGTTCCTTAATAATTGTATTAAAAACTTTTATATTTAATCTCAAAGTATCTCACACAAATTACATGTTAATAACAAAAGGAACAACAGTAACTACACAGAAAAGTAACTTATCCAAATTATTAAAATCAGTATCACCCACCAATTGAGGGCCAACTGACTTCACTACAACATCTTTAGGATATGATACCCCTTATGTGGCTGTCCAATCAAAAGTGGACAAGCTCATTCTAATCAAGGAAAAAGAAAATAAACATAAAGTCACTAGCCTTCATTCTTTAGAAGTATCAGTCTCATGTGAAACCCAGTTAGGAAACTGTTTTCAGTTTATGAGACAGCCAACGAAATGCAAAACATGATCCTCAATTGGATCTGATACCAGAAAAACAAAGTTGTAAAGGAGATTATGTGCACAATTAATGAAAATGTAATATGAATTATAGATTGCAGATAACAATATTATTTGAATTTAAATGTCTTAAATTGACCATTGAACTAGGGTTATGTAAGGGGATATCTTTGTTCTTAAAGAAGATGCACTAAAACATTAAATAATAAATAATTATGATGTAATTGCTCAAGTGGTTAAAATATGCATGCATATATGAGGATAGGGAGAGAGTTATAAAGCAAAGTATGGCAACATGTTAAAAATTGGTGACTCTAACTAGCCTAGTGGCACAATCCTATAACTCACCTACTCAGTAGGCTGAAGCAGGAGGACTAGATTCTGAAGCCAGTATGGAGAATTTGGTAAGATTTTATCAAAACAGGGCCAGGAACTTGGCTCAGTGGTTCTGCCCCCTGCCTTGCAAGCACAAGGACCCTAGTTCAATTCCCGGTACCAAAAAAAAAAAAAAAAAAAGAGAGAGATTGTCTCAAAACAAAAAATGTTAAAAGGGGTGGGATGTAGATCAGTGAAGAGTACTTGCTTAGCAAGTATGAAGCATTGGATTCAATGCCTAGTACTGAAAAGTAAAATTGGTGAATCTAGGGAGATATTAAAAAAAAAATCCAACTTTTCTGGAAAATAAATTTTCTGGAAGTTTAAAATTATTTCAAAATTTGAAATTTAGATATATATGCCTTAAGATTAAATAAATGTTAGTATGAACTGTTTCACTATAAATAATTAATTAAAAATAAATTTGCCGGGCGTGGTGGCATATGACTGTAATCCCAGCACTCAGGAGGCTGAGGCAGGAGGATCGCTGTGAGTTTGAGACCAACCTGGGCTACACAGTGAGTTCCAGGGCAGTCTGAACTACATAGTGAGACCCTGTCTCAAAAAACCAAAAAATAAAAATAAAATAAAATAAAAATAAATAAATAAATTTGACAAAACGATACAACTAGGACAAGTGCTTTGAATGGTGACATTATGGAACATGTACCAGAATGTAGATCAATATATTATCCCTTTACCAAGAAAAGTCTTTCTACACAAAAGAAAGCTATGCTCAACTGTACGAAGTGATATTCTGGCATAAACTAGTTAACAATTTATACACTACGACTGCATTCTGAGTAGCAATGGTCTGTCTAATATATTATCTTTTATAATCAGTCAATCAGTAATGAGCTCAACTAAATACTCGGAGAATTATACTGCTGCATTTGGAGGAATGTATGCCAGTTTAGTTGTAGATACCACAACTGGTTGATTTTTATTTTTTCCTTGTTTCCTAATGTTTAAAAAAGACCAGGGGTTACTTTTGTAAATTTAAAAGTAAGCTTTAAAAAAAGTGAAAAGAATTTTGTAGCAGACATATTTCCTAGAACTTGAATCCTATGACTAACACATTGTGCCCGACTGCCAAAGTTTATCGAAAAGGATCTCACTTACAGCTGATCTTGAAGCTCCACAATGATATACTCTAACTGCTCCTTCTCCAATTTATGAGCCAAATCAGAATCTTCAATCCTTTGAAGTAGTATTTTATTCTGGGAGACAGATTCAGACAGTTGGTTCTCTCGAAGCCGTAGGAGTTCTTCAAGATAACCCTGGAAATACAGTATCACCAGAATGATAGCAGCTGCTAAATTATAATAAATATTTTGAGGATTAATGCTGAGTAGCTTAAGCATTTCTATCAATATTATAATGAAACAATTTCAAAATATTACTGATGAATTAGTAAAAAACATTGCTTTGATTGAATAAAGCATTAACATATATTCCCCATTCTTTAAATTTCTTTCCTGAAGTTTGATAAAATGTATAATTTAAGGCAAAACTTACAGCACTGTAATTTTTTGCTTTGTTTCATTAGTACATATTTACCATACATAATGATCACATTCATCAGAGTTTGTACCTGTGCATAATATATCTTATTTTTTTTTCCATTCCCCTCCCCTCCCTTCAACCCTTCTCATCCCATTTACAAAAGCTTTGTTTCCATTTTTTCCTTCTTTTTATATTCTCGGGAATAATTGCTACAACAAATGCTACAAAATAGGGATCCCTGTCTTTAGAATATTTGGCAGCACGTACCTCTAAAACTATCCAAATCTGATGATTATTTTAGTAAAGGGTAGATAAGATTTTAAACTACATATTTCAATTGTTAGTAGTTTTCAATTTTAAATGGTTATAGGTCTATCCGTTTATAAAGTAATATTTAAAAATTAATCACCTATATTTTCTAAGGCATTGACATAAAGTTGAAAATTATTCTGATAAGTTTTGGGAGGGTTTCTGTTGCTTTTATAGTTATGCCAGCTACTACCTTTTCATTGTTAAAACTGTCTATTTGTGGTTTAACTTTTTAAAAAGTTATTCTAACTAGGCTTTGTTTAATTTGTTGTAGCAAATAGCTTTTGTTAATTTGTTTTTCATTTCATTATTATTAATTTTCTCCTTTTGAACTAGTTTGGTTATTCTTAGCCTATTTATTATTTACTTATCTGTTCAATTTTCATTCTTTTAAAAATCTTTTTATTAATATGTCTACAAGTACCACTCAAGTTCTAACTTGAGTGTGTTAACATATGCTGCTTTCGTTCTCATTCATTTCTAAGTATTTCCTTAGTTCTTTCTGGTCCACAATTTTCATTTTAAACAACATTTCATAAGTGGTGTGTGGGTGCTAGTAAACTTTTTGCACTGACATCTAACTTTATTGTACTGTGATCAACTATTACATCATTTGGTATTTGTGATATTTGTATTGTGACCTACTATGCTACAAAAAATTATTTAGCGATTCCATTTGTGTTTGGCAAGAATATGCATTTTAATTTTTGGAATTTAATATATTTTAGATTAAGCTTAATTGTGTTGTTCAAGTTCACTATATCCTTATTTTTTTGTTTAGAAGTTACTTTGGAAGATATTTAAATTCCTGTATTTTCATCAATTTCTTTCTTGGATTTGCTTCATATTTTTCATAGCTACTTTTCTAAACATATGTAATCCAGAACTGTCATGCCTTCTTGGTAAGTTGTTTCATTTTAAAAAGCACTGCCTTTACCTGTTTTAATAATGCTTTTGGCCTTAATATCTATGTTTAGTGAAACTGATACAGAATTATTTTGGGTAATATTTGTCTAGCATATTTATTTCTAGCTTCTATTGTTTGTGTCCTTATATTTTATGTGTTTCTCTTATAAACATTATATTGCTAAATTTTATGATTAATTTAATAATTAAAAGTTTGTCTTAAATGGAACGTTCATACCATTTATTTTTATGATGTCCACTTCTCTGGTTATATTTAGATCTAGTTCCACAACTTTAGTTTTTGTTCTTTTTGCCATCCCTATTTTTCTTATTTAATCCCTCCTCTTGTCTAATCAAGCTTTTTTTACTTCTTTTCTTTCCCATTTCTAGTTTCAAAATTAAACATTTTAATTCATTCTTCAAATTGTAACATCTAAATGTTAACTTGGAAGTAGACATGGGCATTACAAAATGTCTTTATATTTCTTCACTATAATCAAATTTCTAATGGCATTAGCTGTAATAATCTTCATACTCTTCCTGATATTGTTAAGTGTTTTATCTTTGCTTCCCTCTCATACTGTCAAGTCAGGGAGGCTGCTACCAGCTTTTATGAACTCTAGTGATCTGACTGCTGCATCTTCAGAAATTGTGTAAGTTAGTTGTTAAACACTACTATCAAAGTAAGTCATATAAACTTACAATGAACTGAATGTTACAAAGACAAGGGTACTATTTACAACTTCCTGCTTCCTAATTATTTTATTACTATGTTCCTGCAGTTATCCAGGTTTATTCACTCTTACAGTAAATTACAGTATCTTACTGTGCATCTCTTCCCTGCTCTACACTCAGTAACATGATCTTGGTAGCTTTAAGCTGCCATGATGGCAGAATTCACCTGAGAGAAACTGGCAAATGCTACAAATCAATGCTCCTCTCTCTTATCTCCTTTGTAAGAGCCAGTTGTTAAAAATATTCCAGCACACCACTGCCACACTACACTGGTCATTATTTTTGCTATTTTGTTTCATTTTGCTATTTTTTTTTTATTTTCAAGGTTTATTTACCAATTTCTGTGTTCATGCTGCTATACAGAATCTTTTAGGCCAGTTTTCATCTTGAATGACAGTAGGTCTATATACGCTGTTTCCTTCTTGGTGTTAAAAAAAACCAAGTACCTAAAGGTTATGCCCTTAGCTCTATTCGTGGGGCATGCACTTACTTATTTCTCATTTTCAGCTCTTTCTATGTTCCTCCTTCCTAGTAAGATTTTCTGAGAGAGAGAATGTTGCATGAAACTTTTTAGAAAAACTATTCTATTCACCGTTTCCAAATTTTTGCATTGGAATCCTTTCAGATTATCTTACTCTGATTACATGCTGGTACCAAAAATCTCTTTTAATTGGGTATGAAAGTTTTTCTATATAGATAATGCAAATTTTTCTAGCTATTATATTTATGATTTTAAAATTTTTAATAAAATATTTTATATTAATATAGGATAACTACCAATAAATATACAGTAATATACAACATATTGTTTTATAAAATATTTCATATTTTATATTAGGAAATCTATTCATATTTGTAAATTTATTTTATAACTATTATTCTGAGTATTTTCTTGTTCTGATATTTATATTGCTAATTCCACTGGGCTTTCCCTGTACATATCATCTATGAAAAATGGTGAATTTTAAGAAGGGAAAATTAGGCCAGGGTTAGGAAAAATAGGCTCAGTGGTGCTCCTGCCTGCCTCGCAAGCACAAGGTCCCAAGTTTGATCCTTGGTACCAAAAAAAAAAACAAAAAAAAAAGGGAAAAATCGATAATATGATAAAAACAAAAAGCTTACAGACTCAAGAAAATGGACTTCATTGTTTTTCTTTATATACTTCACTTTGCCTAGTACAGTACTCAGCAGACAAAAATTATTAAATTACCTTATTAAAAATAAACCCCAGCACGCCTGTAATCCCAGCACTCTGGAAGACTGAGGCAGGAGGATCACAAATTCAAGCCCAGCCTGAGCAATTTAGCAATTTAGCAAGACTCTGTTTCAAGACATAAAAAGGACTATGGGTATAGCTTAATAATTTAATCCCTAGTAAAAGCCCACAACTGTCCCCTTCTCCTATGTGCAAAACAAAAACAGACAAGGTTTGCTTAGAAAATTACTGAATTTTCACAAACAAAATCCTTCACAAAATTAATCATAGGAACTACAATCTCAAATATATAAATTAAACTGATTATAAAAAGAATAAACTGGTTTATTTATATTAAACATAAAATTAGAAAAAGTTTAACAAACAAAAACCTACCCTAAATTCTGCCTGATATTTAATTAAGAAGACAAGTCAGAAACAGATGGGAAGTGGGTAGTTAATTTTATTCAGTTAAAAGGTCTTGTGCCATGTGTGCTGGCATATGCCTGTAGTTCCAGCACTCTGGGAGAGGAAGGGGGATCACAAGTTCAAGCCAAGCCTGGGCAACTTGATAAATTAGTGAGATCCTGTCTCAAAATGAAAAAATAGAAAAGGGCTAGGAATTATAGCTCAGGCGAAGGTCCTGGGTTTAGTCTCTAGAGCACCCACGCACGCACGCACACGCTTCTGTCAGTGAGTGCAGGACAAGTAAGTACAAAGAACTTCACGACTGATACATACCTTCTGCTCCAGGGTAAGCTGATACTTCTGTCTCACTCTCTTACACTTGTTGAACCAGCTGTTGTCGTCCATGATGAAGGGGGGCCCCACATTCTCTGGGGTGCTGCTCTCACTGCCACTGCTTCCTAAAGTCCTGAGTTCCTCCTCATCACTGCTGATGCTATCAGAACTGGAAAGGTCAAACATGAAAAAAGAAACAAAGTAAGTAACTTGTAACAATTTGATTCTTAAATTAACATTCCTTCACAGTATTTGTAAGCTACTGATGAGCAAATTACAAAATATTTAGCAGTAAAAGACATTAGTTTCCTGAAACAAACAAACAAAAAAAAGACAAGCTAGCACGGGCTGCTGCTTCCATTTCACAAAACCAATGCCTAAAGACGCTGTGTTCAGTAAGACTTACAGATCTAAAAAAAAATAGTACAAAAACTGAGAAAACCCAAAAAAGGGGGAAAAAGTGAAAAGAATCAAAGTTCATACGTGCTGGTAACTAGCTACCTAGGTTCTCTTCACTGCCCTAAGTGGATTATTGTCTGTCCAAATTCTAACATTAAGACAGAAACAGACCACTATCAGCTAATGGTAGTGGGTATAACATGGTGTTTAAGGATAGCTCGGCTTTGACATGGAGGAGATAAATTCAGAAAAACCAGTTATTCCCAGGCATTTCCTATTGGGAGGAAGAGAAGAGGCAGAGGTAGAACAGAGAAATTTTCTATGATTTCAAAATAGCAGAGGAGCGTAAATTAAGGTAGAGAGAATGAGAGATGAGCTAATAATCACAGAGGAAAGTATGCTGACAGTCTTGATTTAGTGTTTGGAATAGTAACCGTAATGCCTACTTTGTATAAATTTTATATAAATAATGACAGACCTAAATTCTGCATAGCAAGGGCAAATGTCAAGAAAGATATTTATTAGAACTCAATAGTGCAATACCCTAATTTATTGGGATGGATGGTAGTCACGTGAACTTTAGACAATGTTGAATTTTAGATTTGCACATTAAAAATAATGATGCAACAGTAAAAGAAATAGAATGTATAACTTCTAAAGAGTAGAGGAATACAATGTGGGAGGGGAAGAAATCAATGTAACCACAGGATAAAACAGAAGGCAAAAATTGCCGTAGCTATCTGTATAAATATATCAATAAATATCCTGCCCCTCAGTTAAAAAGCAGAGCACATTAGAACATTTTAAAAGTTTCAAGTAGTATCATTTTAAAAAATACTTAAAATATAAGAACACAGAAAGACTGAAAGCACTGTATTTCATAAATTCCTGGTATATGTATTATTTCTGTCAAGCCATTTGCTTACATAGTAATATCTCTGAATGGAGAGATAGTTATAATGAAAGACATATTAATTGAAATAGTTTTTTAAAAAAGATGAGAATATGCAAAGGTAGTATTAACTAAATGGAAAACTGATAGGACTCTATTAATATCCAATACAATACTTTAAAGAAGAAATTGTCACTATATATTTATGTCTATTACATATTTATAAAATTGATTTCAAAAAGAAAATTTAAGAATTCTAAATTTGAGTGCATCTAATAAATAAGTTTCAAAAAACCAGAAAGAAAAATTTAAAATGACCACAAGGAAAAACTGACAAATCAACATCATAGAAAAGAATTTAATACATCATCTTCACAATTTTAAACATCAAGAACATAAAAATGAGAAATAATATAGAATATCAGCATATCATCATGAACGGGCATAATAAAACACAGGGTCTAATCATTGGAATACTGGCTTACTTTATTTGTTAATAATCAGTTTCAAGAAACTAATTATATAGATCACATTTATTAAATATGTATTAAAAGCCCTGCAAATATGTGAAACTTACCCTTCAAACATCCCTTAGTAAATAAATAAGTATATGTGTAAATACATACATACACGCATATATGAAATGATACTTTAAACTGCACTAAAATAAACTGACTGTGGTGGTGCATGTCTGTATTCCCAGGACACTGAGAGGCTGGGACAAGAAGATAGCAAGTTCACAATTCCAACCCAGCCTGGACAACTTAGTGACTCAATGAGATCCTGTCTCAAAATATAACACAGGCTGGGATGCAGCTCAGTGGGCCTTGCCCTTGTGCTTGTGGAGACAGGATGGTTCCCTCCCCAGGAGGCAGGGGGACCAGCATCCCAGTCTGCTTCCTGCTTTTCTCTGCACTGTCTTCATTGTCTCTGGAGTGCCTAATTTTCCAGTCTTTCTTGATTCTCGGAGTTCTATTTCTTTTTCTCTTCACTAAGTTGTTGTTTTCCAGATGTCTTGATCCCAGATCCTGGAAAGACTGTATCTTGCTGTTAAGTCTTGACACCATCATCTGTAACGCTCCACATGGAACACTGCTTTTCACCTTTCTGCTTTCAGTCTCTGTTTCTGTTTCTGGATAAGGTGTGCCTCTTGCAGTCATATGTAATGGGACTAACTGTTTACAAAATGTCAGTGTATGTCTTTTAATGGGGGAGCTAAGACTGTGGACACTGAGAGCTATTTCTGTAAGGTATTTACTGAATCCTGTCATTGCATTTCCTGATGCTGAGCCTTAATTTTAACTGCTCACCCTGTTCGATGCACGCTTTGCTTTCTTTGGTTCTAGTGACCTCCCTGTCTCTCTCTAGGACGTCTTTGAGTACTTTCTGCAATGCTGGTTTGGTGGTCATGGATTTCTTAAGGTGTCTTTGTTACTGAAAATCTCTATTTCTCCATCAGTTTTGACAGTCTTACAGAATATATTAATCTGGGTTAATAGCTGTTTCCTTTTAGGGCTTCAAAAACTTTTCTCCAAGCTCTTCTAACCTTTAAGCCTTGTGCTGAAAAATCTGTTGCACTTCTGATAGACGTGCCTTTGTTGTTTCCTGTTTTTCTCTAACAGCTTTTAGTATTAGTTCTCTGTGCTGAATTTCTGAGATTTTTTAACTATGATATGTTGTGGAGGAATTCTTTTCTGATTATAGCTCTTTTGAAGTTCTATATTTCTCTATACTCATGGAGAATGAATTTTTATAGTCCATACTTTCTATATAATTTTTTATATCTTAGATTTGTGCTTGATTTCATGAGCTCTATGTTTTACTAAAATGGTCATTTACGTCTTGTATTATCTAATTAATTCAGTTTTTTTGCTTAAGTGAGTTGATCACTTTTATCAATTAAATCCTTTGTTAATGTACATCACCTTTAAGCTCACTAAACACATGACAGATTTGTTAATTTGCTTCTTTCTTGATCTCTCAAACATTTTAACCATTTGGTTTTAGCTTCCTCCAGCTCTAGTTGGACAGATCAGTTTTTGGAGAATTAAAAATTTGGAGGCATCTTGTTACTTTGCTTTCTCATGTTTCTATTGTGTTTGTGCTGAGAGTTGAGGATCCGTTGGGGTAGAAAAATTGTGTCATACCATGAAGATCTCCTTAGTTAATGTACGCTTTCCTGTAATGTGATTTTGGCTTTGCTTATGTCTGGTATCTACACGCTTCTTTAACCTATCAACAAAATAGCATCTGTTCTGGTCGCTGTGTCACAAGGAGAGAACAACTACCAGTTATATCCACATCCACAGACCAAGCTATTTATGAATCACGTAATTTAAAACTCGTTTTACAATTTCACCCTATTTTCAAAAATGCATACTGTGATATAGTATTGATGACATGTGGACTGGGACACAGAGGATGAGGGAAGGAAAACAGAAAGAAGGGAAGGAGAAAAAATAAAAGCAAATGAAAGCAAACAGATGGGCCTTTGTTTCTATTCTTATATCTGGAGTAGAAGGCAGATGGAGAGGGAGTTTGAGAGAACATTTGCAGGTATGAGAAAACTTAGAAGGGAAATTATCTGAGAGAAAGTTGGAACCAGTTAATTAATATGCAGACAAGAAGCTTGAGTTTGATATACATAATATTGGGTAAGGGTTAACCTGACGTGCCTGTGGAAGACCCTGTGTAAACTAAAGCACCAATGACTTCTTACTCACTTTTTCACATATACAAATACCTCACTCATATATATATGCACATGCACACTAGATGATAGAAGAAAAAAACAGAAAAAAACACCCCTACACATAGAAAACACAAAACAATCCTCTCAGCCCTGTATTCTGTAGTCAGAATTGAACCAGAATACAAATAGTGAAATAAGACCTGCAAAATACAGCCTCTCTGGAACCTAAAATTGAGAAACTTGGAAAAAAATCAATTTGGCGAGAGGGGAAAAAAAAAAAGCATATCTCCAGGAATTAGGAGGGAGTTGACAGGAAAACTGGAAACTACAGAAAAGCTAGAGAGATGGAGCACAATGCAGAGAAAAGATGGAGAAGTTTAGAAAACTAACCGTAGCTCCCAGTGAAGGTCTCTGGTCTGGTCTCTTCTAAAATAAGGTAAGCCTGAAAAGGGTGAGCAGCTCCAGCAACAAACAATGAAAACAATGCATTGGGCTGACACTGCTAGCTCCAAGAAAAGTCCATGGTTATTGTAAACTGAAAAAAATGGCTTGAGGTTTTACTGTGAAAGTGATTCTTTCTGTGTGGCAGGCTAGAGTTGGAGAAGAAATCCAGGGCAGTATCCACCATATGGATGGTATTTAATCAGCAGCCATTTGGGGAAAGGACTGTTTAAGACTGAGCTACAGGACAAGTTCACTTTAGGGTTTCTGGGGTCAGCTTACTACACTGACTGGGTAGGAGATGGCCACAAGAGACAGTCACAGAGAAGTTTGGGCTATACACAAACCCCCTCTAAGCTCATGCTAGGAAGGACATGAGTTGTGCTCTTAAGTGGAGAAGCCAGCCAGACAGATCAATCTCATTAATGAACATAGATGCAAAGATTCTTAACAGACACTGGCAAACAAAACATCGAAAACATCATATATCATGAAGAGGTGGCTTCATCTCCAGGATTAAAGGTTGGTTCAACATATACAAATCAATAAATTTAATACATTAAATAAATAGAAGCAAGGACAAAAACCACATGACCATCTCAAAAACATGGAAAAAGTCTTTGACAAAATCCAACATACATCCATGATAAAAAAAAACACTGAGGAAAATAGGTATAGATGTACATTACCTCAAGCCGATAAAAGCCATTCATGGCAAACCTACTGCAACATCATTTTAAATGAGGAAAAACTAAAAGCTTTTCCTTTAAAATCAGAAACAAGACAAAGATTCCACTGTCACCACTCCTATTGATATATTACTCAAAACTTTAGCAAGAACAATCAGGCAAAATAAAAAAAAAGAGTATGTATAGGAAAGGAAGAAGTCAAACTACACTTACTCATGGATGTCATGATCCTTTACAGAAAAGACCCAGATACCTAGAATGAATAACCAAATTCAGCAATGCAGCAGGATGCAAAATCAATATGCAAAAATCAATAGTGTTCCTATACACCAATAAAGAACCCACTAGGAAATAAATTAGGAAAACAATACCATTCACAATAGCTTCAAAAAAATTAAGTACTGTACTAGGGATTGACAAGTGAGCAAAGTACATTAACTGTTTTTATTACAAAATTTTGTTTTAGTTTTACATTAAAAAAAAAGTGAGCAAAAACACTCTATAATGAAAACTGTAGTACTTTGAGGAAGGAGATCAAAGAAGACATCAGAAAATAGGCATTCTTGGAGAGGCAGGACCAATATTGTCAAAAGAGTCACATTCCCAAAGTGTTATTCAAATTTAATGTAATTCCAGTCAAAATTCCAGTAGCATTTCTGGAGAAATCAATCTTAAAATTCATATGGAACCAGAAGAGATTCAGAATAGTAAAAGTAATTCTGATCAACACGAGCAAGGAAGGATGATAATCCTGGATTTCAAATTATATTGCAAAGCTACAGTGAGAAACCCAGCATAGTGCTGCATAAAAACAGACATAGGGATAAATGGAATAGAATAGGGGATGCAGAAACAACTCCAGGCACACATGGAGAAACTCTACCTTGTGTATGGAGTAGTCTGGATGGACTGCTGAGCCTGCCTAGTTTCCTCTGCAGGCAGTGCTTTGCTTGGTTTCAATTGACCTCCTATTGGTGTAGTAGCCACAGTGACTTTTTGTTTTATTTTCTTTTGTTTTGTTGCCTCTGTTTTAAGATTAGATGCCTCAAATTGTGTAAGAGGGGAAGCTATAATATGGTAGCTGGTCAAGTAGCCAGTCTTCAGCTGATTTCCAAGGACACTAGTACAGTTAGAAACAATGGGAGCCACTGCCTTTATCCATTTAATTCTAAACAGTACCCTATAGCCACTCCTTCTTCCACTGTCTTAGAGAAGTAGAAAATAACAAAAATCCAGGAGATCTGATCCTTCAGGCAAGAGCACATGCATGCTGGAGTTCCTAGCCTGACCTTCAGTCTCTATCATCCTTCTCCCACTCATTATGGATTCATAAAAATGTACCACATGTCATGTATATAATCATCAACGTGAATTCTGGGAAAAATGTGTTGAGAGCCCCTGAGATGACACAGCACCTTGTCAATAATGCTTATCAATCACACCTCAGGTGAAGTATAAATCCCTTAAATTCCAAAGGCCTGCTGGTATTGCTCCTTCTGTATGCTGTAACCTGTGTGCAGTGCTTTTACTTTTCTGTCACCCTGGCACCTTTTTTCTGTTTATGCTGTATCTTCTGTTGGCACAGACTTGCTCTGAGCACAACTCCCCATGATTGTCAATAAAAGGAGCTGCTTGTCACCTGCTACCAGGTATACACCTGGCAATTCTTTGCCTGTCATATACAAGAGCCTGCATTATACCGGCCCGGTATGCAGTAAGATGGCCTTCTCCACTTCCGTCCCTTTTCCTCTGTGATAACTTTGCAGTTCCTATGTCTATGTTTTCTATATGCTTCTGGGTGAGTGTGCTGCTCTGGCTATATTGCTTCTTTCTGGTTCTCTGGCCCTAACCCCACACTCCACAAAGCATCACCATCCAGCTTATGAACTCTGTGGTTCCTAGGGCTCAGGGTGCTTAGCTGTTTTTGGCTTTGGGTGGGAGGGCTCATGCAAGGACACCAAAGTGTGGGTGGTATGCCAGGTGTCTTACAGACACAAACACATTGGTACCGGGGAAGTGAGGAGGGAGGCCTGCTTTGGTACTGCTCTAGTGTTTTTCCTCCTTCCCTTTATTAGAACAATTACTACTATTCCCCATCCCCACAACTCACTGAGCTGGCTCCCCTCCTCTGATTTGTTCTCTTGCCTGCCAGTGGGTGGAGAGGGTTGCAGATCTGAAAGGCATAAGTTAAAACTTCTGCTCATCAAAAGACACCTCAACAGTAAAAAGGCAAGCTAAAGGCTGGCAGAAGACATCTGCAGCACAAATACCAAAAGGTTCATATCCAGTCTATATAAAAACTCCTACAAGTCAGTAAGATGGAGATGGACAATCCAGTACAAAAGGGGGCAAGTATTTGGGCAGACAGCTCACAAAAGAAGGAACTGAAATTTTATATAAATTATATATATATATATATATTAATATAAATATTAAAATATGGATGTCTTCCATTTTATTAAAAAATGCAAATGAAAACCACAATGAGATTCTATCCACTACAACTATGCCTACTGGTGAGAATCAGGAGCAGTGTAAAGTTTAAATTACCATAACCCTTTTGAAACTAAGTTGGCATTTTTTACTGGAATTAGATATAGAAAAAACTTTTCACCAGATATATACAGATGCACTTTGCCCAAGGAAATGTTCAGGAAAATCCAAAGTGGCACTATACATCTACTCTAAACTGAAACTTTCCCATATATCTGGTAAGAGTAAAACGGACAAATACACCAGGTGTGGTGACACATACCCGTAATCCCAACACTCTGGGAGACTGAGGCAGGAGAATCACTAGTTCAAGCCCAGTTCAGGACATGTAGTGATTTAATGAGACTCCGTCTCAAAATGAAAAATAAAAAAGGGGGTGGGGGTATAGCTCAGTGTGAAAGTCATTATTTTATGTCATACAAAGAAACACCACTGTGCTATAAAAATGAGTGATTAACAGCTACATAGGAAACAAGACAAATGAACATTACATAAAAGGCTGTGCAAAATAAGCCAAATGCAAAAGAATAGACCCTCTTCCATTTATTTAAGAACTGTAACTATACCATAACATGTAGAAAATAAAGTAAATTTTAAGAAGAAAAACAATAAAATGATTACCAAAAATGTTAGAACAATGACTATTTTTCAGGAGCCAATACAGGTTGTGATTATGAAGGGATAAAATCAGGCTTTTCACAATGTTTTCTTTTCCTATCCTATTCAGTATATTCTTAATAATTTGTTATCCTACATATCTACATTTTATAATTTTTTCTTTGTAAATTCACAATAGGTTAAAAAATCTAAATAGGACATGTAGTTACAATTTTTGACAAAGTTCAATGCTTACAGTAGAAATCAGTATGGAGACTCCTCAAAAAACTAAAAATAGGAATTACATTTGAGAACATAATGCTAAGTGAAATAAATCGGATACTGAGGTTGAATATTACAGAGTTTCTCTTACATGGGAAACTCAAGGTACAAATACTGTAAATAGCAAAATAACAGATGATAGGAAATAGGGAGGTTGACTCTGTAGAATTAGATGTGGACTGGAGGGTGGGGAAGATGGGAGGTTGCAGGGGGGAGGGGGAAGTAAATAGGATTAAGACACAATATTTACATGTACCAATTACCCAACATGAATGTAATCAACTGTGTATGCAAATGTATGAAAAAGAAAAAAGAATTTACAGGATTTTTTATGATAAAAAATTAAAGCAATTACATCATTCCCTAGTAATAATGCCCTACTCACCAAAAATTGAAACTTTGGTAAGAAACTAAATAGGATATTTTAAAATCAAGGATTTATATTTAGTTTGGTATAACTGGCAAATACTTACATATTCTTTTAAAAGGAAATACATCTCAGTGTTTTATATGTTCGGCTAAATCACTACAGTTACATGCCCCTTCCCCAAATAAGTATGAACTGATGATAAAAATAACCTCCTACTCACTTCTGCTCTTCTTCAGTTTGTCTTACTATTCATATATTACATTATATATACATATACATGTATACATGTGTGTGTATATATATATAT